AAAAAATCTGAAACAGCTTAAATATATTAATTCCAAACTGATAGAATCAGTGATATATATCAAACCATATAACACTCTGCAGCTTTTAAAAGGAAAATGAAGACTATACTTACTTATAGTGCAACCTGCTAAGAATTATTTTTAGAGGAAAAAATAAAGAGTAAAATAGCATATTCTAGTAGATGAAAATGTGAAGTAGAATGGTGTATGTGTGTTTATACTATTCTCATCTTTATAGAAAAGGGTATTTATATATACTACTAGAGGCCCGATACATGAAATTCATTCAAGAGTAGGCCTTCCTTCCCCCCGGCTGTTGGCATCGACTTCCCTCTGGCACCCGGGACTCAGGCTTCCCTTATAGTTCCAGCTTCATCCAGAAGGTCATCTGGAAGGATGTCCAGTCTAATTAGCATATTATGCTTTTATTATTATAGATTTGTACATCAAATATATGTCTTCTATTGCCTAGGTTATAACACATTTACTTATGTGCTTTAAAAAAATCTAACAGTGATTTGGGAAACTGTTTTCCCCTTCACTATTCGTAGCCACAAACTCAAGATTCTTCTTGGTCAGTTTTTTTTAAATACTTTAAAATAATTCTAAAAATTCTCCTTCTCTGCTGTGAAGAAGGTTTTCTAGGATTCACACTTGTGAGTGAGCCCCTTCCTCCTTCGACATTAAGGCCACACAGATGTGTGCTGACAATAGCAAAATCCCTCAGCCTGAAGCAATGCAAACTGCTTGCTACCTGCTACCCAAGGGATTCTATAGGACCCCCTAAAGAGCAAGAGTAGCAGGAATGAGACAATGAGTGCCTTTCTTGTTCTACCTAGACCTTCCTAAGATGAATAGAATGCAGTCTTTTTAAAATGTCTATCTCTAAAGATCAGGCTTGATTTTGAATAAAATTAGCATAATTAGCAATTATTAATTCATTCAGTTATTGAGATCTTATTAATTGTTATAACAGTGCATGGTTCATCACTATATTCTTATCCACAGTTTCCCAAGAGGCAATCAAACAGATTCTTGTATTTAGATAAGAAAGGCAAAGAAGTTCAATTTTTGCAATATTGTTTATTTAAAAAGCAATTTTTGAAAACTCTGATTTTTGCTCTGTTTCCAAACATTCAAACATTCATTATTTTAGAATGAAAAAGAATTATAACTTTAATATTCCTTTTACATTGCTAGCTATATTAATATGGCCATCATCTAGTTGTGTTTAATAAATATTCACTTGATATTTTTAACCTTTTATGGAAAAAAAGTTAAAATTTTTAACAACCATAGCAAAATTGTCTTTAAAATGTATAATAAATTGAATAAATTCTATTTCAGTCTAACTTATATAATGAGTAAATTTATGACATAATTAAGAATATATCAGATATAAAATTTGATCCTAATAATATAGAATGTTTTCAAAATTTGATTAATGATCTTAATGTTTTAATTGATGGCTCAGTTGATAGTAATTATTTTTTTAGGTGAAACATAGCACCTCCCTCCCCCCTCCAGCAGTTACAGTAGGAGAAAGAAGTAGTGCCATTTAACTCAGTCTAATAGATTCCCAAGAAAAAGATGATTGACTGCAGTTAATGTCATCCATGGCAAGAGATGAAATGGTGAAATCATTCAGAAACAAACTTAAAAATTAAATTAGAATATGGAATACTGAGTAATAAATCCCATGTAATTCAAATTAGCATTGCCACTTCACTTGACAGAAGTTACCTTAAAGAGACAAACTTACATAATGAGTAAAAATGGGGAGAACTGTGCTAATCTAATACAAAGAAATCAGAGAAAGTTGATTATAAGATTGCATCAAAATTTTTAGAATTTACATTATTTAAAAAACTAAAGAGCAATGTCATGGAGTTATGAAATTGACCCCAAAAAGAACTGAATCATATTTACTTATTATTTTTTTTTGTTAATGGTGTGATATATTGCATGTTTACAAAAATGATTCAAGTTTATTTTTAAGATATTTCTTAGAGAGTCTACTTAAAGTCAAGCATTGTTAGGGATAAAAATGAAGAAAAGAGCAGAAGTGATCCATCTGTCATTCATGGAAATTGCAGTCCAGAGGAAAGAGAAGTGAGTCAGTCTTAAAAAAAAATCACAAAAATAAAAATATGGTTATAGCTTGTGATAAACACCATCGAGAAGAGTTTCAGGTTGTAAAAGGATTGTAAACAAAAAGAACTGACTAGCACATTAACACTATTTTTAGTAAACATTTTTATATTTTCTATTTCACTTCAGTTTTTTTATTCCAATGAGTTGATATACATATAAATAGTAAACACAAAAATAGCTTTCTAATATCAGTCAGAAAATATCTTTGAACTCACTTTTTTTGCCAACATTTTATCTTTTTGACAATGTTTTGGGAGGCAAAATTATGATCTCACACTGACTTTGCTTTTCCCAATGTTTTATTTAACACAGGTTCACTTCAGGAATTATAATTTACAAACCAATAGTATACAGGATAATGTCTCTTAAACAGCAACGATATATATATAGACATACCTCATTTTATTCACTTTATTGTACTTCACAGATGTTGATTCTTCCACAAATTGAAGGCAAGACCCTTCACCAACCAAAATATTACAACTCACTTTATTATGATACTCAGTTTATTGCGGTGATCTGATACCTAACTCACAATAGCTCTGAGCCATGACTGTACTCTAAAGCAATGAGAGGTTAATTATACTATTGTTCCAGCCAAGGAGAGAAAAAAGAAATTGAGTTTATATATAGTTGAGGTATATCCTTATGCAAGTTGTATTCAGAAGACAACTCAGCCTGGCCAACCAAGAGCTGATGTCCACGGGCCAGTGCCAAAGTGAAAGTCCCTGTTGCTAGAGCACTTTGCTAGGGAATGACAGCGCTAGTGTGGACAGGCAGGATATTCTTTGTAGAACCACTGCCTGGCTTTCCCCACTGCCAGCAAGGGTCCCCTTGACCTCAGTGGGAGCTAAAGTCCCAAAGGTCTTCACAGAGCTCTTTAGATCAGTCAAGGGTAGCCCTGCCCAGGCCGAACACTCCAGAATAGTCTTCACAAATTACAGGCATTTATTGTCTAAATGTACTCTTGTCACATGTTTTATTCGATAAGGCCCCACGGATGCCCCTCAGCAGCCGAGCTAGTGAGTACTTATCAGTGACAACAGCTAAGAGGATAACATCCTGACATAGACTCCTTCACTCTTCTAGCAAAACAACTTCACTCTTAAAAACAACTTGATTCCTAGGTCAAAACAACTTCGCTCTCAAAAACAACTTCATGTCTTGTCAAAAACAAAAAGGAAAAAAAAGTGGATTTGAAATCAAACTCATGGACACAGACAATAGTGTGGTGAAGGCCTCAGGGCAGATGGGGTTGCAGAGTGGAGGGGTTCAATGGGGAAAAAGGGGACACCTGTGATGCTTTCAACAATAAAGATAATTCTTTTTTTTACTTTTAATTTCTTTATTGATTAAGGTATTACATATTACCCCCCTCCCATTACCCTCCCCCCCCACTCATGCCCTCACCCCGCTGTTGTCAGTGTCCATTGGTTAGGCTTATATGCATGCATACAAGTCCTTTGGTTGATCTCTCCCCATCACCCCCACCCTCCACTACCTTCCCTCTGAGGTTTGACGTTCTGATCAATGATTCTCTGTCTCTGGATCTGTTTTTATTATTTTAAAAAATGTACACAACAGATATCATACAAAATAAAAATATACTCAGTTAAATTTTGATTATTTATGTTGCAGCAAGATTTTTCATATTAAGGTAATTTTATTAATGATTATGTTAATTGAATTTTAAAAAGCACTGCTTCCCAAACAGTATGTAGCACTCTGGAGTACACTGCAGACATTAATTTAACAAGTATTTATAAAGTGTTTACTGTGAATAAGGAATTCTGACAAAATAAGGAATCTGTGTGTGGGGAAGGTGGAGAAACAATGGCCAGTGTACAACCGAGCAGGAGTGGCTGTGGATAAAATAATAAGTCTACTACAAGCAGGAGGGAAATATCTGAGCATCGGTACGATGACATGTTATGGAACTTTAGAGATGACAGAAACATCAATTTCATCTTCGTGGGCCAGGAGCCACCAGGAAGGCTATGATGAGGAAACAATTTAGATCTTGTCTTGACACGTTAGGTCAGGAGAGGAACAATGATGCATAGAAAGTGACATGAAAAAATTTCCAAATTTGGAAAGCTCAGGGTCTTTTAATAGGAATCTCATTAGGCTTGAGAGAAGTTAAGTTCCTTATGAGAAATCATGATAAAATAGGCTGAGAAGTAGAGAGGAATTTGATTATCACGAGGCTATGAATGCAAACATAAAGAAATTCAAGGTAATTCAAAGGGAATTGTTTTTGGTTATTATTTATTAAGAAAGAAAAATTAGACTGATAATATAATTTGTGAAAGATTGTTAAGGAATCATTTGTAGGCATTTCTAATACTTCCTGGATACCTGCTACAAATGAATGGAAGTCACTTTGAGAAATACATATTTCTAGCTCTCAACCTAGAAATAACTGAAGTTCAAGCAGTTTTATCATGAAAATGTAACATGGACTAACTTCTTGATCTTATGCTCATGATGTTTAGAATAGCCAAGGTAGAACTATGTTCAGTCAAAATTTTAATTCCTTTACACAAAAATGACTCTTAGGCATATGGCAGCTAATATATCCAGGTTTCTTACTACTTTAAAGAAATTAATTTAGCTTCTCAGAACCACATACATCGACAATTCACCCAGGTTCACATTCTGTGGCTCAGACATTTTCAACATTTATAAACTCCATGATTATAAAACAAATATAGTAATTCTTTTTGCTTTCATTTAAACCTTAGATGACTGGGTGGGTGGGGGGGTCCTTCTGTCATTTCTACTTAAGTTTCTGGTACTTTTAGTTATACTGTGTTTTCTGATCTGCTTATAAATCTAGATCTCAGGATTCTACTCTGCAACATCCTCCTTTACTGCTCCTTCTGGTGGGACAGAAGGGGTGGACTCCATGGGGACTTCCCTCAGCCCCTCTCCTGCGGTGCCACCGGTGTGCCAGGAGGATGTGTGCCACAATGGAGGCACTTGCCATCCCATCTTCCTCTCAAGTGGTGCATTCTCACTCCAGTGTGACTGTCCACTACATTTCACTGGCCGTTTCTGCGAACAAGGTAATCAATCTTCATTATCCTTCTGTATTTCTTTTTAAAAACTTCTCTAGAGAGAGGAAGAGAATTGAAACCTATTGTACACACAGTGATGGATAGGAGCTCAAACAAGAAACTTCTGTATAATTTTACTTAAAAATCAATTCTGAAAGAACATTTTCAGTTCAATAATGTAGAAGCCAAACCTGAGATATTTTTATTCAAATTACCATTAAAAATATATTTTCAATTGCCACCAAAAAGAAGTTAAAGTGAAAATGTAATGTTATTTACATAGTTTCTTCTAAATGTGTGATATTCCATCCTTTGTCACCATAGAAATAATTTGGTTCTAATTAATGCTATTTTTATTGCCTGTTAATCAAATCACAGAAGCAGATCTCTATATTTAAATTATTTTGGTGTGTCAGAAGAGTACATTATTTTTTAATGCTTAAAAACATAATTTTAGCATTATTGGAATTATTTATGAATGAAGTGGAAACTTTCCTATTGTCAATATCTAAGGGCCTCCTGAGAGTCAGTTAATTAAAGCCATGCTGGGCACCTACAGTCAGAAACGCCCTGGGCAGATTACAAAGACCTTAGGTTATGAGGCAGCTGACTGTGTGTCCCTCCACTAATAGCTTAAAAGTGTCATTGTTTCCTATGTAAAATTAATCACTGGTTTTAAATTGGGGAAGTAGGGGTGAGGATTACTAGTGGATAATGATTCAGATAGCAGAGAAATTCATTACTTATTCAAGATTGTGTTAAATAACCCCTTTTTTTAATACCAAAATGTGAGGCCTCTAAACCTAATTCAAAGGTATATGTATATGTTATTTAACTCTTCTTCCCAAATGATCTTGTGTGACTGTAGCGAATGTTTTAATATTCAGCCAAGTAAGCAAGTAAACACAGTAAGAAGCTCAGCTATGGAAATAGTCTATTTTCATGTTCATGGTAACACATTGTGTTCTTAAAGTCTATTTTTTAACTGTAAAGTGCTTTTGACGACACATCATTATTACTTAATTTTTGAGTGAATATTTCATATCTCTGAAAATCTCAAGAGACTTGCCTTCTTCAGCTACAATCTGAGACCATTTATATTACCTTCTGTGAATAGAGTTCTAGGGACATAATTTGGATTGTAAAGCTCTTTTAGATCCTAACCATTTAAAACTCTTAACCATTAAAAACTCTGAGAGGGTTTTTTCTTTCTTGAATTTCATGCTAGGTAGAGTCTTAGAAAAATACCCTCCTTCCCTTCTTCAAATATACTTTGATATTTTAATTTTTTAACCCAAATGTATTGACAGTGGTGAAATTGATGTTGTAAAGGAGTCTTTAGTTAATGAGGATATGTCCTGGTCAACCACATGCATTAGAATACAAATGACCCTCTAGCCGTAATTCCTACCTCTCCTAATGAATCCCCCAGTTCTTCCTCCTAATTCCTTACTCAGTAGCTTTAACACTCAGAGAGTGGCCTATACTTTTCTTCAGAATAGGAGTAATTCAGGTTTATTTGGAGTTAAGTCTAAGACTTGATTGAAGTTTAATAACGTTGGGTGTTTGAGGTGACAGAATACAGGAACCTGAACTCCGGAAAAGAGTCTCTGCTCTGTATTCATTGTTTGGAATGTTTTATCTTTTTGCAAGAGTATTATTCACTTTCTACCTCTTTTTCCTGTTGAATTTACAATATTTTGAAAACTAATGACTGGAATGATAATGTGTTGCTAAAACTAGGTAATCCACTATAGATTACTTATTTCTAACTGAAAAATAATCAGAAAATGTGAGTAAATAATTATTACCAAGATAATGACTTGTTTTTTTATTAAAGAAACTTTGTCAGTGACATCTGAGATGTATGATGCACTAATCAAAAATGCATGCAATAGGACTCTTTAGATTATCAGCCATGATAGCATTACCTATAACTTTGTTGCTATTCTTGCCTCCTTTGGGGAAAAAAATATTTCAATATAATATTTAGAATGTGATGTGATATACCTTTTTAGAATTGGGAATGTTCTTTCTAAATTTAAAAATGATCAGTATTTTCTTTTAACCATTTACCCCCTACACTGGAATTAAGTAACTTTCTTATTTCAGTTATAGAGGAAGTCAAGAACAGGTTTATGTTTTCAGTATGATGCTCTAAATATAAATCACACTGGTATGCATCTTAGAATCCAGATTGACAGATAATGACTACCGCCTAAGGCCCATGACTCAGGAATCTGCTACCATAATGAGACTTTTTATAGCATTATCCAGGTTGGTCAGATGCCACAATTTCTAAGAGTAGATTTAAATAAACAGTATTGTATGCCAGTTTCTACTACCTGGTAGAAATCTTGCTGTGGATAAACAGTCCCTTAAATCAAAGTTTCATCAAAGTCTCTCTCTCTCTCTCTCTCTCTCTCTCTCTCTCTCTCTCTCTCTCCTCTCCTCTCCTCTCCTCTCCTCTCCTCTCCTCTCCTCTCTTTACATATATACATATATATGTGTATATACATATATACGTATGCACATATATATGTGTATATTATATATATATATATGTCTTAGAAATGTTCTCAGTATTAAATTGCTTAGACTTTACTGATAGATTGCTACGAAAATTATTTCTTGCTAAGTTTCTGTTGAGTACATTTGACATCTAAATTATATAAACTACATTGTGAATAATTTTGGTGTACCAGATGCTGCACCGAGTACTTCCTGAATCTTATTTCACTTAACCCTCAGAATAACACAGCTAGGTAGAGCATTACATCATGTGCTCTACTTTATTAAATCACCCATATCCAATCACCTAATAACATTGACTTATAGAATCAGTTTGATTCAATATGCTCTTTTTTTTATCTTAATTCATATGAGCTCAACCTTGTTGCCTCCTTTATCATAATGATCCTGCATCTCACCAGGGGAAACGTAAGAGCATATAGTCTTGCTTTGTTTCAGATGGTTGCATGCAGGCAGATGGCTGTCTCCTACTGTAAAGTTCAGAGTGACAGATTTAGAATATCAGTGCCTTGTGCTTGGGGGGAAGTGTATGCCTCTGACTATTAATTATAGGATTAACATTTTTAAACAGCCCCATACTTTTTAGTGTTCTATAAAACAGTTTTATAAATAGTGCAGTAAAGGAGTATTTAAATGCCATACATTAAAACCAAGAAACCTTTTGTTTTATTTGAAATCCTGTCTGTATATATTTTATATATGCGTAAAGGTCAACTGCACTGAGTAAATTGCAAACCTGGAAATAAAAGTGAGAGATTTTACTGGGTGCTTTGTCTTGTTATATATATGTTTAAAAGACTGCCTTAATGATGCCTTTGGTTTTACCATAACCGGAATATATTTTAAAGTCGTGTTAGAGTAGTCTGAATGTATTTATTAAGTTTTTAGATCAGGTGGCTAAATGTCAGATATTCCAGAGCCAAGAAGGCATAGAAACAGAACATTAATCAACATATAACACTGATTTATCTGCTCTCCAGAGAACTGATCATCTGCATCATCAGAAAGGGACCAAGAAATAGGTGTCTGTCTTTTCAAACATAATAACCATGTCTGAAAGTCTGTCTTTCTAATCAGAGAGCAATACAGCATATTTACTAGTCTATGGAAACTGCTAAAATATTAATATGTTAAGTTGCAAATGAATGGGGATTGAAGTCAAGGACAAGGGCTGAAGGAAGACAAGAATACTTATGGTCAGAGACAGAGGATTTTGTTTTTGAAGGCAGAGGTGGTCTGAAGGTTCCAATCTTCTGTGCTCTTCTCCACTATCAGTTGCTGCATTCTCCAGCAGAGAGCAATGTGTTCATTAGTAGAAAAAGCTCCCTCCCCATCCTGGTGCTTGTAACTGTGTAAAATCTAGATGTTCATCAGTCTCTCTATTGACATTGGTAATAATCCAGAAATGTTCACATGGGAAGAGGAGGGAATATATATCTTCCCCATCCATCAAAAAAGGATAACATATATTTTGTCTTCTAGATGAAGAGAATATTATGTTGTTGTGAAAATAGATATGTAAGAATGACTTTTTACCAGTTCCTTTTTAAGGTAAAACTGTGAGTTCTGGTCATTTCCTTCGACTAAAAATGGGACTAGAGTAAATTAATGTAAAGAAAAACTATTCCATTAATTTTATCCATCTATTCAAATTTGTAATGGGCCCATTGTTCTTGTTCACAAGAAATTTAGTAAATGTTATGGTCAGATACTAAATGCAATGGCTGTTTTTTCTTAGTTCCTGCAGTCCATACCCTTTCTTATTTATTATTTATTTATTTTAAAAAGAAAACATTAACCTTTTCCATATGAGAATATATTATATAATTAAATTAAATAGGATTGGTTGCATTTCATCTTCTTATTTGTCATCTTAACATTTTAAACTATGGTAGGAAAGCTGCATGAATACATTTGTTGTACTGTTTAGAATGAAATAGTAAGGATTTTAAAGAAAATTCTGTATTCTAATTAACTAGAATAAATCATTGCACAGAATTGAAAAATATAAATGTGGATGATATGAGAATAGATCAACAGTAAAAACAAAGAATAATGTTAACCGGCCCTAAAATGCTATTATACAGGGTGGGGCAAAAGTAGATTTACAGTTGTAATACAAATAAACAACATAATAATAAATAATTCAAGACTAAACTCTGTGTTTCACATACTCACAACTGTAAACCCACTTTTGCCCCACCTTGTACAATGACAATACAAAAGTACTGTGATAACCAGAGCTAATTAAGAATAAATGATGGGAAGTTGATTTTTAGGCAAGTATTTTCTTCAACATATGCCTTTGGCATGAAAAAAATTAATAGAACTTGTATTTAAAAGGCCACAATATGTTCTTACTCATAATTTCATTAATGAAATTGAGTACCACCTGAGCAAAAGAACTTATTCTTTCAACTGTCTGTCCTTGAAATACTATACCTATTTCAATTGCTTTAATCCATTTTGTTAAGCTG